ATTCTGAAGTACTGGGAGTTAGGACTTCAACATATATGAATTTAGGGTCGGACACAATTCAGCTAACACAGCCCATTTACATCTGACTTACAGCTCAAAAAAAGGCAGGAAAGTGATTATTTGAACTCAGAGGTAAACTCCAGCTCCTTTAGGCAGTCTAGTGAAGCTATCGTAAAAAAATAGAAAATATGATCATATAAACAGGAAACAGGAAAGTAAGTTTGGTGTACAACGGGTAATCAGGATTAATTTTACTAAGCAAAGGACAATATATAGACAACTCCTATAGCGTCCTAGACTACACCAAAATCATTACATTTTTAGATAACATTCTAGCCACCTAAGAGTATTGTGTTTAAAATACAATATTTTACATACTTTGGAACCTGCAGAAAATAATCCTAAACTAGAAAAATATTTACATTTTCACATTTCAGCAAACAGATGAAATGTGTTCAGGCTGACAGATCATGATCTACACAAGTGCTATCAACTCTAAAGTGCAGGTCACCATGCTCAGCTAGAACACATCTCATTTGTTCCCACGCCTCTCAACTAAGGCTTCCTGCTGTTTCTCTGACTCACAACCATTCACCTTCAGTGGTCACCAGGAGTGGAGAGGCTCCTGGTGGAAGGAGTGCTGGCTCTTGAATCAGACTTACCTACATTCAAAGCTCACTTATTCCAGCTGTGTAGTACTTATACCAGGTAAGCCATGTAGTCTTTTAAAGTCAGTTTCCTCTTCTGTGGTGGTTATCAGTGCCTATAAAAGAGAGCTGGTCTCAGATTTAAAAATAATGTATATAAAAGCACGTGGGAAGCATCTAATAAATGGTGTCCATAGAGGTGGCCTCTCGAGATGAAGGCATTAGAATGAAACATCTACCTTTATAGAAGCTAAGTTTCCCTTTCCCTCCAAGAAAGAGAAGGAGCCTTTGTGCTTCTAGTAATTCCCTCACTCCTGCATTTTCTTTTGGTAATCTATTTCAATTTTTGTGGCCAGTTATGTTTTAGGTATTTATACACCTATTTCTTTTGCCAATAATCATCCATACAAGTACATATGATTTTCACAGTGTCAGTGTCGGAAAAACCAACATAATTAAATCTAATAAAATAACATTTTTCTAAAGCTGCTTATTTAAATTATATTAAATAATTATATTGAATCCCAGCGTTGATATTTCATGAAGTAGCTTCAATCTCAGTTTTAAGCTATTTGATGAAAAAAAAACTCTGTGATTCAATATAAGTATTTTAGTGCATTAATCTTCAGAAATATTTCTTTCTGAAGATTAATGCACTAAAATATTTACACCAAGCATATCAAAGATAGGACTATTTATAGAGTTTACCTGAAAGAATTGCAGCTTTAGGCATGGGAGGTAACAGAAATGTTACCTCTAATATCCTCCTTTTTTGAGGGAAGAAGTTATGAAAGAGAAGTCAATCTCTGAGATAGATTTGATATGCACAATAAGCTAGTCTATCTGGACTCACAAGTGATTTTGGAATTAACAAATACGTGTCTATACTGGCGATTGGAAGAAGATATATGGGCTCCATTAGGATGATACTGCTTATATAATCTTGATTCTTGACAAGTAAGAAACTTTTCTAATTTTTATTGGTTTTTCTGAACTGTCTGGTTGAACTCTAGAAGGTAAGCAGGACCCCCAGAGTCCTTACAAATAGATTTATTTCCTTTGGAAGAAATATATCTTCCTTATATTTTTGGATATCTTAGGTTCATCTTTCTCTTTGACTATGTAGACATAGAACAAGCTCTTAAAAGAACTATTTTATTTTCCTTTCAAATTCCTCCTCCTGCATAGCTAAATGCATAAACCCTCGCTTGCTTTAGTGACTTCTAAGTGAGACTGCAGCCTTGTCATTTTTTCTTTACTGAGTTGTTCTGAGGAAGAAAATTTAAATTGATTATTGTCTTATCTAGTTCCTTGATGGTACTTTACCACACCCAAGTCCAATAAAATATTGATGAAGCGGTAACACTGAAGACTATCTCATGATTCAGAAACTCAAAACTGTAAAAAGCTTTTGTCTCATAACAATATTTAGAAGGACAACTCAATAGGTTAGAGGGGCAAGACTGACATGCAAACATCCATCACATTTTATTGAACAAATTAAAATAGATTTAATCTTTAATGTGTGTCCCTAGAACAAAATTTGCTGGATATAATTGTTGATTATATGCTCAGCAGATTGGCTAATTACTTTAGGCAGATGCTTGATGCATATTAATTTGGATTCCATGATGATTATAACTATCTTTAGTCTACAATGTAGCCTCCACTTAGCACAGTCTTGTAACGATAAGGATGTTCACTTGAAATGTAACTGCTGGCAATTCTGTAGGGGACAGGATGGCATCATGGAGCCCTGAACTACAGTAGGAATCTAGATTCTAACATTCGGCAGACCACGTGGTCTTAGACCAGTCGGTTAAGTCTCATAATCATGCCAGGCACATCTGTCGCACAGGAATATGGTGTGAATCCAGGGAGCAAAAGCATTATCATGGGGAACCACAAAAGGAATAGCTTCTTAAACACATTTCCAAAGTAGCACCTTACTAACAATTGTATGAAGGCAAAATGTTAATTGGTGGTTCAAAACACTTTAGGGAATTAAAAACTGATATTTCTAAGTGTTGGCAATGATGTGAAGCAACTAGAATTTTCATACATTGCTGGTGAGAATATAAAATGCTACAATCACTTTGGATATTGGCTTGGTAGTTTTTTAAAAGTTAAATATGCATTTACAGTATGATCCAGTGATCACCACAATTCCACTCCTTGGTGTTTACATAAGAGAAGTGAAAACACAGGACAAACAAAGGCTTGTTTATAACAGCTTCATTCATGAAAGCTCCAAACTAGAAATAATCCAAATGTGCCTCAACTGATGAATGGGGTAAACGATTTATATCATAGACTTAGATATAGATATATACTATATATACCATTCAGCAATAAAAAAGGAATGAGCTACTGATATATGCAACAAAATGGATGGATCTCAAAAATAGTATCCAAGCAAAAGAAGCCAGGTACAAAAAAAAGTACATCCTGAATTACTCCATTTCTAGATTCATGTCAAACAAGTCCATAGGCAGAAAGCAGAGGAGTGGTTGTCTGGGGCTGGGAGTTCAGGGAATACTGATTGCAAAGGGACTTAGGAAATTTTGTGGTATAATGGGGAGGTTCTATATCTTGCTTAAGATGGTGGTTCCACGGGTGTATATTTTTGACAAATTCATCAAACCATATGCTTAAAACGGATTGTATTTTATTATGTGTAAATTATATCTCAATAAAGTTCAGTGAAAGAAATGAACACACACACACACACACACACACACACACACACACACACATTGGGAAAGCAATGGCAAAGGTGGCATTGTAACATTTCAGGCTCTCACATCCTGAGAAGGTGGCTAGCACATCAAAGTTCAGGGCCTGATCTGATTCTACTCCCAAGGCTGAGTTCCTTTCATAAAAACCTTCCTACCCCCCTGTGAGTGTGATGATGGCTATGAAAGCACTTTGTAAGCCAAAAAGCACTGTGTCCAGTTAACAAAGGTGGCAGATGGCCCCTGCTAAGGTTTCTTCTGCACCTGCTCAGGGTCCTGGGCTGCCCTCTGTGTCAGCTTTCTAGGAGGGCAAGACACGGATCAAAAGAGATGCCTCCCCGGCCTTAAGTGTTCCTGGCACCCGCACTCACTTCCCCTTCCTCTCTCCTTCCTCTCCTCAACGGAGCTCTTCTCACCTCTCAGAACAACAGTCCTTTGATAACCTGTGAAGGAGTCATGAATAAATGGACATAAAAATAGAGTTCCTTAAGTCACACAGAATTTTTTAAACGAAGTAAATTCTTACTTGTGACTAAGAGCTTGAGCCCAGGGTCAGAGGTCATCCAGGGACCAGCTCCTCCACACCTACCAGATGTACCTAAAACACCTCTAACCTCCCAGTGCCTCAGCTTTCTTGTTTATATTTTTTAAAAAGCAGTAAAATTAATAACCCACACCCTGGCCGGTGTTTCTCAGTGGCTAGAGTGTCGGCCTGCACACTGAAGGGCAGCAGGTTCAATCCCCGGTCCTGGTCAGGACGAGTGTGAGAGGCAACTGACCCATATGTCTCTCTCACACTGATGTTTCTCTCTCTTTCTCTCTCTCTTTCTCTCTCTCTTTCTCTCTCTCCCCCCCCCCTCCCTTCCACTCTCTCTTAAAAATCAATGGAAAAAAATATCCTCAGGTGAGGATTAACAAAAAAATTTCAGGCTGACATGAGAATTAAATGAAAGAGTGCATGAAAGTCCTAAATGGAGTGCTGGTGGAAAGTAGGAAAGTGACAAGTGAGATCTACAAATGTTAATAGATATTTTTGTCCTGACTGCCCCAATTTCTCTCTTAATTTTCTGTCAGATATTAGAGAGCCTTTTTCCTGGCTCCACAGTAATACACCCAGACTCCTTGGTCTGGGAGAGCAGCAAGTTCTCATATTCAGTCAGCCTTATTAAGTTGGGAATTGCCTAAAAACATCAGTTACCTGAGACAACTGGCTGGACACAGCCAGACCTTTATAACTGAGTTTTGCATTCCAAGTTGATTGTAAGCATTATAGTTCATCTACATGTACTTACACAGCCGGTCAAATGTGCTGTAATTGTTTGAACAGGCAGAAAGCTATACACGGTGTTCAAGAAATGTGGAAAATTGGGTGCTCCAGTGAGCCAAGTAGGGAATTAATAATATATTTAGAATTACTAATAAAATGCCTGTCAAGCAAGCAGCAACATATTACATACCCCAAAAAATCCTGCCTGCTGTGTAGGAGGATGTTCGCTCTTCCTAAGAAGTACATATTCTTGGAAATAAAATGATTCAACCGCAGATGAAACTTCTGGTCCCTAGCATTTTCCTCCTAATTTTTCATTCATTTGTGTGTTTCTTACATCTTCCCGTGTAGCTCCACCAACCCTCCCAGACGTCAGTGGGTCAAGCAGCCTCCCAAGGCAATCTTCTGCACCTGGCTCACAGCCAAGCATCCATGTCTCAAAGCCCTGTCCGGCAGGCTTCTTCCTCCTCCTCCTCGTCCTCCTCTTCTTCAGCTTTGAGCGTGGGCCAGTTAGTCAGCAGTAAGTATCCTTTCTGGCTCAGTTAAGTCATAATGGCCTCCTTGTTGCCTGTTTGCAATGCTCTCCTCTCCTCTCCTCTGTTCTCTTCTCTCTCTCTCTCTCTCTCTCTCTCTCTCACTCTACCTTCCTCTCTCTTTTTTATTAGCTCAACCTCGAAGAGGAATTTCTGGCCCTGCTAAGCCAATATTTGTATGAAGTCCATGCCGTGGGCCAGCTGGCTCCTTCGGGATGCAGGCCCACGAAGCACACCCCCTCCATAAGTACCTGTAGGGACTGGTTTCCATTTCAAGTGCTTTCTGATGTGCTGAGTCAGTCCTGCCACTTCAGAAAGGAGGAACTGATCAGCTTGCAGGGCATGAGCCGTATAGCTCAGAACTGAAATAACCAACAGCAGGCACTGAGCCCACAGGTCAAAATGCTTTTCTGTGTGTTTGAAGTCTCCTGCCATTCTATTTGTAGGTGGCAGAGGAAATAAAAGAGAGCGTGCCTGAGGGTGGGTAGCTGTGTGTGCACAATGAGCTGCCTCCGGTGGCATGTGGGGGAAGCTGATGGGTAGAGCTATCGCTGGACTTACAGGTGCTACATATTTTGAGCATGTTACTTAGTTAATTCCCTTATGTCTCAAAACCCGACTACAGAATGAATAGCACATGCAGTATATTCTGATGAGTAATAGTACATGGAGTGATTTCTCAAACTACTGTTTGAGCTTTCATTTGTAGGATTTTCAAGGCACTTTCAATATTTTACTCATTTTAATACTCACAAGGTATTGTAAGTCCTCCTTTTTAGATATTGAACCTAGCATTAAATAGAACCTGAAAAGTGCAACCCATTTTGACCATCTTATGTCAGAGGAACCAGATTCAGTCTTAGTTGAGAGACCCTGGCACTCTGTATGACCAATATAATGGGTGACAAAGCCAGGATGATAACCCAAGACGTCTAAGTCAATGGATTGTATATATTCTATACACCAGAGCTGCTATAAAAGATAGAATGCTTACACATGAGTTTTATCCAGTGAAATTTGAATGACAAAATATAGCAAATCACCTGAATATCTTTGAATATTTTTTAAAAGCCTGGGCCCATGCCTTATAATTAAAACATAAGAGCTTTTCTCTGAGCCAATTTGAAGAGAAAAACTAGACATCTTGCATATTATGAAATATATAATCAAGCATGAAATATGCAATTAAAATTCTTTTTGTCCAAGATTAAATTCACCTAATCTGCACATAGGCTAATGTGGGGAGCCCTAACCCCATACTTAGATGTAGTTGTTATGTAGGTTAAATTACAGGGAAAACAAAGGGTTAGTCAACCTAAACAGAAAAATAAACACATTTATTGAGCACTATGTGTACATCAGGGAACTGATTACAAAGAAATACAGAGAACAAAGCAAAATGGATGCTATGATCAACATATGTATAGGGACACTGAAGATATAGTAGATGGTTATCTCAGTTTTAGAAGCTGAGATAGAATGGAAGGACTTGCTATAATAGTTAATCCTTAAATTGAGTTCGGATGGTAAATGGAGCAACAAATTCCTCCAAAAAGCAAGGTCATAGTTGAACCTGTGGTCAAAACCTTGGTTAATGACCGCCCCATATCATACTCAAAGGGTTCAACAACCTATCATTGTTCCAGATGAAGTGGGCAAGTCATACAAAAAATCTTCCCCACTCCAGGCAAAAGAACGCAGAATTAATGTGTTAGCAATGATAACGGGATCTTCATGTGTAAAGAACACCACATCTGGGCTCAGAATTACCAGATATGCACATTCATTAGGACATCTGCACAATACCTGTTCACAGCAGCTACCCAGCTTACCCTATGTTAGACCTTGATCAGTCTCTACAGTCGTCAGAGGTGAATATACTTTCTATAAGCAGGGCTTTTGGAAAGCCTAGAAGAGTCAAACAATTGACTTGGAAAATGTCCCAAATTGGGTTGATTTACACAGTACTGCTTAAATATAGGTAGATTTGGGATTTTTTCTTCTTTGTCGGGTTTGGTTTTTTAGTATACTTGTCTTGAACCCCTGATCAGTAAACTTGATTCTTAGACAACAAAACGCTGATAGTCAATACCAGAAAAACCAAAACTATAAAATGAACATAAAGATGCATGGTGACAGCTTGTGGCACAGAGGAACCCCTGGTTCACATAATCACAATTCACATCATTTTCCACAACCCAATGAAGTCACCATATTGCAAGTAAGCTGTTCTCCCAAATTGCATTGTATGTTCCCAAATGGTTTCTTATGTCTCAGAAATATTTGGTAAATACGTCCATTATTTGCTGTGAGAATAGCACTGAAAAGCAGATGGATGTTTACATAAGGCAGTTAATTCATGCTTGGCAGCTTTTATAAAGATGCATATTTCTTCTATAAGAATCCCACAAGCAGAGGTTATAGAACGGTGATATTGAGAGGTGGTGATTATTCAACAGCCCACTTGACAACCCCTTACACGGATGCCCAGGCTAACAGTTGGAAGGAGTTAGATTTTAAAAACTAAAAAAACATCTGTCCTGAGCACTCAGTTCAGTATTGGCCCAGTGACCACACACCCAGATTCTACAGAGCGGGTTTGTTTTCACACCATTTGCATTTAGCGCCCATAAAAATCTTTTTACTTTTCAGCCCGTGCATTCCAGATTAGTTTGAGAAACATCATCACTATATTACAAGTCACTGCCAATTTTCAATGCCAGTTTATTCTAAATCTCCAAGTCAGTTAGATCCCATATAGGTCGATCTTCTGGCTCCTCTAACAAGGGAAAGATTCAGGGTGGACCCTGGCAGTCATTGCTAGTTTTTCTGGCCCTGTCATTAATATATTGGGCTGACTTAATCTGGAGTAAACTTCTATAAAAGGTGCCACTTCCTCTTCAGTGCAGAGAAACCCAGACCAGGTTGTCCTAGAGCTGATTGGAGGTGCTGAATCCACCCTGTGCACGTTCTGAGGGCTCCCTCTGAGGTCCCATCAATACGGCCTCAGATTCATCCTTAAAACTGATACAGCCTCCCAGAGCCAGGAGAATGAATGACAGGAAGCCAGATTGACACATCCCAGGTGGAATGTCAACCTCTGAGCTAATTTGAGAGTTGAGGTGACATTCCGGGAGGGCTTCCACTTACAAGGCTTCATTATTTTTTTTTTCATTTCCCTGCTCAATCAGAAAAGCGTACGGGGGTGGGCAAATGTAGATCTACAGTTGTGCGTATGCAAAACACAAGAGTTTATTCTTGTATTTTTGTAATCCTAAACTGCCTTTGCCCACCCCCTTATTCCTGAAGGAAGAGGAACTATTCAAACAGCAGAAAAAAACCCTCAAGAGTTTAAGACAGAAACTTCGGGATCAGAAAAGAAAGATAGCATCCACTCTTTTAATTAATTCAAAACATCTTATAGACACCATCTAATGAACTTTCTCAATGTGTGAAGACAAGTTACACATGTGATAATCAGGGTAAAACTAATATTGTCCATGGGTGGGCCCCTTCTTTCCAGGGTGGGCCCCTTCTTTGCATGGTGAGACTTTTGTGGTCTTGAGACCTATGGATCAAAACCATAATAAGACATTTTGCCATCTGATTTTATGGATAAGAGCACTAATTAAAGAAAGCCAGGCAGCTCATCTCCAGCAATCAACAAATTTTACAATGTGAGACTGATTTCTCCTCCCTGGGCCTTTGTCCGATAGATCATCGCCCTGTTTCAATTTCACAAGGAAATCTATCTTATCAGTTACATACTAAGTAGAACCAGGAAAAAGACAGGAGTGGAAAACGTGTGAGAGGAGGAAGAAGGAATTCTGTCTCTGGTGTAATAAATGCCTGTGTGGGGCCTCACAGAAGCCATTGGGCTCAGTGAGACAGGTGCCCACCTCTGTGAGCCTTAGAGTCAAGTTCGATAGCAACACTGCTCAGTGCACCGGGGGTGAGAGTCCATAGCTTTCTTTCCAACTCTGATTATTGTCAGTGATCTGGCAAAAAGCAACCTGCACAATCACACACACACACACACACACACACACACACACACACAGAGAGAGATTTAGTTCCTGGTCTCAAGGAACTAGTAAGGAGACAAATGATAAAAAGCAGAAAATTCAGCCCAAGTCAAAAACCGGCCTGGTACTGCATGGCCTAATCTGGTGGCTGTGCAGGCCCTGGGTGTGGAGTAGATGAGGGACATCCTTCCAGATTCAAGACCCACCTTTCACCTGCTGGTGAACTCAACTGATTCCCATTGATCTAAAGATGGGCCTCATAGAAAGCACAACTTTCCTTCCCGCACAGGCTACTTAGCTTTGCTCAGAAACAAACTCTCTCCCCAACTCTAGACTACACTGCTCACCCCAGCCCACTGGCACCCAGATGTTTGCCACTTGCTGTATTCAGTGGGGGTTGGGGTGGGGAAGAGCAAGGACTGGGTGCCTGACCAGGAGCCCTTCCCTCTGGCCCCACCAGCCTTACACAAGTGATAGAGCAAGTTCTCTATGGAGTGGAACCTGGTGAATAAAAGTGGCAAAAGGATTCAAAAAAGACAGTAACTTGCGGAAGATGCCATGCCCAGACTTGGTCATGACAGAGCCACAGAGAAGGCCTCTGTCTGTGTGGTCCAGGGATCTGCTGCATCAGAACCCCCTGTGGTACGTGTTAAAAATGCACATCCCTGGACCCCAGGTGACTCTCACACCTGCCAAATTAAGTCCACCACCTTCCTACAAGCCACTCTGTCACAAGGAAAGTCTCTGGCTTCCATTCTCTCACCCTCGGTCTTGAAGCTCCACTGCCCACGCTTGCAGGTCTGCCAAGTCCCTCTGCCTGCTCCCGTGGAGAGAGGCCGGGCCCCTCCTTCACTGGGCCATTTCTTACAAGTGTCCCTCTCTGTTCCAACCAGAGTGCTTCCACGATTATTTTACTATAATCCTCCCATCCCACACCCAACCCCATAAGGAACCTTTTTACACTTTTTTTATCCTAATTGCCCTCCTTCCCTCATGAAATGTTAATACCACAGATATACCGCACCCCTGTTCTGTGTATATCTGGTCCCCTTTTGGGGACCAGAACCTTTTTGCTAAGACTTTTCCACCTTCCCCACCACCACCCAGCACCAATCTCGCCTTGGCAATGCGAAATGGGCTCAGCAAGGCAGCAGGTCTGAGAAGGGCTTGGAGAGGAGAAGGAGGAGGAGGAGGAGGAGGAGGAGGAGGAGGAGGAGGAGGAGGAGGAGGAGGAGGAGGGGGAGGAGGGGGAGAGGGAGGGACAGCCAGAGTCAGTTCCAGCTAACTGCTTGTTCCCAAGTTCAAATGTAGCCCTGGTGCAGCCAAATCTTCATGTTCTTTTTCATGTTTCAAAAGAACATGAAAAATCTAGATTTTTTTTTTTTTAGAAACTTCCCAATGTTTAAATGTTGGCAAGTAATTAAACAAATGTGTAAGTACCAGAAAAGCTGAGTTTTATTTGCTGGAAAGTCGCTCGTTGTTAACTTCTGCTCTAGGAATTTTTTAAAGGAAGAAATTAGAGGAGGGGTTCAAGGCTGTTGTGTGTGGATGAGACCTCCCAGAATCCCTCGCAAACCCTTCAAGCTGCGCCAGGCCGCTGTGCTGGTGGGATTTAATCCAGTCCTAGAAAAATTGGCTCTTGGGATGCAAATATTTCTTTCTTTTCATGATAAGAGTGTTTAGAGCCCTGAGCCCAGAAGGATACTATAGTCCACCACAATCCTTAGACAAGTACTCAAAGATATTGAAATGGATGGGTTACTGTGCAGAGAGAGGACGAGAAAAACTTTTCACCTGTGCCCTAGGAATGAGGTGGAGAACAATGGAATCGGCAGGCAGGGAGACTGGCTTCGCTCCAGGCGGGGCCCAGCCGCACTTTGAAATCGTCCACCATCCCCAGCCCATGCTGTCCCCTGCTTGGTGTGTGCTTTCATTTATCCAGGATCAGTCGCCAGGGGAGGGGAGTTTCATTCTCCAGCTGTTGTGTCATTTCCCTCGGTAAGTCCTTAATTGACAGAGTTATCTGGCACCGAAGGAGCCTGCCCGCCGTAGGCATTTTTATTATGTGCCCTTTCCAGGGACAAAGGCAGCAGGGTCCCTAAACTGCTTGGTGGGGGGAGGATATATTATCCTCACAGCTTCATCATAAGCATGCTCTTTCGAAGGGTTAATGTGAACATGAGAAATTAGGCAATTTTGCCATCTGTTAGCCTGGCTGCATTGGTGACCGAGTGAAGGAAAAATACAAAATACTATTCTCTTCAAAGGGCAATTCTTAGCACTCAAGATTCCAATTAAGACAGTTCAAATTGAAACCTTGCCCATCTTATATTTTTGCACAATATTTGGACATAGTTATGTTGCCTCCCCCATAGCAGGTGCCTTCCTACCCTGGCTCTTTGTTAAGCCCTAAGGAAGACGCTCTTGTATTGTGGACGTGGCAGTGTGAGCAACCTCTGGTTTTATCTGGGATAGGAATATCTTGAAGGATAACTTGTGGACATGCTGAGGATGGGGGCTGGGGTGCCTCACCTGGGAGACAAAGGGAACATCATGCCATGTTGGTTTCCCCACTGCTCTGCTTGAAAGAGGACCATTTTCCCATAAACCATAAGAAACAGATGTGACTCGGATGTATGCTGACATATTGATCCTATTTTTAAAAACATCTCTACAGATCCCCAAACGGCCGCGGGTGAGGTGGATGGGGTTAATCTGGAGGAGATCCGAGAATTTGCCAAAGCTTTTAAAATCCGGCGCCTGTCCCTGGGCCTGACGCAGACTCAGGTGGGACAGGCCCTCAGTGCCACAGAGGGCCCGGCGTACAGCCAGTCAGCCATCTGCAGGTAACCCGCGCCCGCATGCTCCGCCTCTCCTGGCCGGCCTGGGCCTCCTCTGCCCTTGCAGCTCGGCTTTTCTTCTTCGGGTGGGCAAAGCCGGAGGGGTCCAGAGTGGGAACAAAGTGTGGGGTGGCTCCGTGTTGAAATGGGTGGTAGCGATGGGAATGAAGGTGCTGACGCAGACTTGCGGGCCCTGGCTTGGTAACTCCTGTCAACTCAGACAACCTCCAAGGCGGCCTCCTGGGAAATACCCTACCCCAGCCTCCTCCAGGCTGCAGGTGGGTGTCCGTGCAAATGGAAAGCTGCCAGTCCTGGTGGGGGCTCATGCCCCCACCATTTCTGTGAAGGGATGGCTGCCAGGATTTCCCAAGAAAACTCACCATAAAGCAAATGAATCACCTTGGGACCTCGAAGGAGCTTTTACCTCTCCTCCTCAGATACCAGTTTAAAAGCACATTTTTAAAAAGAAGCACCTAAAAGGGGTACTGAGAATCTGGCCTCATCTGGCCCACCCCCCGCACCCCCCCAAAAAAATTTAAATAAATAAAGAATCCAGCCTTGGTTGTGTTCAAGTTGATCTGGGTCAAGCCGCCAGAAGCAGCCCCGCGCATGCATGTGTGTGTTGCACTAATCCGCTGTTTATGCATGAGGCAACAAAGGCACTTCGGTAAGAGCTTTTTCCTCTTGGGCACTGCCTTATGAGTCCTCCTCCATCAGGAACAGCCAAGAAACCAACTCTAAACTCATTTAAGTGGATTTTGTTCTTGGTGATCCATGAAATGCTGTCTTTTTATCTGCTCTTTATACTTTTAATGTATTCCCCAAAGGACGGAAGTGTACTTTTCCTGCAGTTTGAGACTAAGGTTATAAATAACATCAGTATGGGGTAGTAGCTTGCAGCTTACATTTTGCTCAATGATTTTCCATAAAACCCATTGATTGTTGTTAAATACAAAAAGCTCCATAGGATCCTCTCACTTCTATGGCCTCCCCTACTGTTTTTTCTTATAAGATACCTCCCTGTAGAAAATAACCTTTATTCAGTCTACACAAGGAGACTGCTGCTGGGAAATTTGTTTCAAGGCTTGTATATGTTATTCCAAACAATATGTACAGGAGCATCAACACTAACAAGCAGCATCAGTGATACGAATACTGTTGCTCCCTGTTGGGAAACATTAATTTTGGTTCATCTTGACAGCCTTGCGATAAAGGCAGCCACAGGTTTTGAAGTTGTTGCCAATTTGCTATTGTTACTAAGGTCCTCTTTGGCTTATTTTTAGCCCTAAAATCTGATTTCCTTTTATAGGTTTAAGTGCTATCTAATGTTTTCACTGACATAGGGAGTGTTTCTTGGGCATTCCCAATCAAATATGTTGATGTCTAAAGTCTTCCCGGGGGAGGCCAAAAAGCTATGGCTGAAATGATCAGAGACCTGGGAATTCATTGTATAAAAGAATATGTCGATGCCTTGACTTTTTGGCCTTTCTGTAGCTTCTGGTATTTCAGTGAGATGATTTTATGAGCTCGCTACCATGAAAAAAAAAAGAAAAGAAAGGAAGTCTTAAAAGAAACCCAAATCTGACATAGAAACAATTCAAGTTCATTTAAAGGTGAAAGGAATCTGCACATCCAGGTGTCACTTCTCCCTTCTTTGCTGCAGGGACTCCCAGGTGCTGTTTTGATAAGTTTCTCCTCATTAGAGACACAGAGGAAATATCATCACCAATATGACTGGACACCCCTATCATAGGCTTCCTCCCCGTGCCATGGCGCTGTAAAGAGTGTGAGCTTTAGGACTTTTATAGGGAATGGCGGTAAAATGAGTGATGTGGCAATTAACAGGACAATGAGAGCGCTGGGGAAGCTTGCCACAAGGGATGAGCTCACTAAATGACATTAAATTCATTTTTATTGAAAGCAAACTGTACTTCCTCCCTCTCTGACCAGGACTTGAGGCTGTATTTTATTTTTATAAAATAAACAAATAACTCCTTGAACTATGCTTGGAAGTGAATGCTATAAGAGTTGCATTAAAATTTCATACGATGTGCTCTATTTATCACAACATAGGATATCTAAAATGCAGCTCCAAAAATCAGATCATGGCACGTAAAGGAAGCTTATCCTTTTGTGTCCTTTTGCAAGATTCCTTACAAAACATTCTCTCTGCCAAACCGGTTTGGCTCAGTGGATAGAGCGTCAGCCTGCGGACTGAAAGGTCCCAGGTTCGATTCCGGTCAAGGGCATGTACCTGGGTTGCGGGCACATCCCCAGTGGGAGATGTGCAGGAGGCAGCTGGTCGATGTTTCTCTCTCATCGATATTTCTAACTCTCTATCCCTCTTCCTTCCTCTCTGTAAAAAATCAATAAAATATATTTAAAAAAAATAAAAAATAAATAAAAAAAAAACATTCTCTGACTGATGAAAGCAGGTTCATTTTGGCTCTATGAAAACAGACTATTGTAATAAGATGCACCTCGCCATCAGACGGCTGTTTTCCAACAGCCCTGAACTTTAAAAGAGAGAGGAGAATTCTGTGTGCCCAAAGTTGTCAGATCAGAGGGTCGTGAATTTGGATTTAGAATAAACAAACAAACAAGAGGAACTGTATGTTTTTGTATTTCATTGAAAGCACATATAACTTTTATACCGAGATGTTAAAGCACTCTACATAATTTTCTCCAAGATGCTTCATATTTTTTTTAGTCAGTGTAGCAAAGAATTGCTGGTGGTAATTGATGTACAGAAGGCCTCCCTCATTTACAGAAAATAATATCATTCAAGTACAGGTTGCAGATATCACACACTAAACGCAGCTTGATGCCCTGGTGCAAAGGTACACTGATGCCGGGCAGGGTTTGGAAGGCACAAGGTGGCCGGAGCACATCCGGAGATGGGTGTTCATAGTCCTTACAGTGTGTCCAGCTGTTTGAGTCCAGCAGTAAAGTAGCAACAGGACATGTCTGACCTGAAAAGGGAACATGTTGTTGACATACATCTGGTGAAAATTGTTTGTTATCAGAGGGTTGGGGTGGAAAACAGAGACAGAGTGAGAGAAAGGGGAGAGAGAGAGATTACAATGAGACACAGAGCTGAAGAGAGAGCTGTACAAGAAACGTGTCCTAGTTGCCACCACTAACTGTTATAAGAGATATGCTATTTCTATAGTCCAATGAATGGGGGAATTAAGGAAAACATGAAAAGGGTCATTTTAAATGAAAGAATGTGAGAGCTGTAGTCTTTGATGTCACTTTCTGGTGTTAATTTCTACCTTGGAATTCTGCAGATTGGGGGAATGGTGTGGTGTGATTAAAATAAAAGCTTGTATCTGGAAAGTTTACCGGGAAAACATCTAGGAGTTGTTTCGTTTCTATTGTGAAGGCTCATGCGTCGCGCTGTCTCCACCTCCCCGGCCCCAGTCTGTGTCCACGCGTGTGGGCTGCATGCGCTGGCATGAGGCATGCGGGAGGGCGGGTGCTGGCTTGAGCGGGCACAGCTACCTTGCAGCTGGCTGAGAATCTGGAGTGAATTCGCTCTGCCAGTCAGTCAGGCAGGCAGGCAGGAGCCCACCCTGGCAGAGGACTCAGTTTAAGACTGTTCTTTCTCAATTTTCCCCCCAGACACACCATCCTGAGAAGCCACTTTTTCCTACCACAGGAAGCCCAAGAGAACACTATAGCTAGCAGTCTGACAGCCAAACTGAACCCTGGCCTTTTGTATCCTGCCAGGTTTGAAAAGCTGGACATCACCCCTAAAAGTGCCCAGAAGATCAAGCCGGTGCTTGAGCGGTGGATGGCTGAGGCTGAGGCCCGCCATCGAGCAGGTATGCAGAACCTGACCGAGTTTATCGGGAGTGAACCGTCCAAAAAGCGCAAGCGGCGCACCTCCTTCACCCCCCAGGCCCTTGAGATCCTCAATGCCCACTTTGAGAAGAACACACACCCCTCCGGGCAGGAAATGACCGAAATTGCCGAAAAGCTGAACTATGACCGGGAGGTAGTTAGAGTTTGGTTCTGCAATAAGAGGCAAGCCCTGAAGAACACAATCAAACGCTTAAAACAGCACGAGCCTGCCACGGCCGTCCCCCTGGAGCCCCTAACAGACTCTCTGGAAGAAAACTCCTAAAGGGACGCCCACCAGAATCCGAGGCAAACTCCGCAGAAACTAAGCTCCATCCTTGGGACTCCACCAATAGACAAAGAAACAAACAAATACGTAATAAATTAAAAATAAGATTTTAAAATAGCCCTCGTCATCCTCCTTATCAGTAAAAGACTAAGAAACCTACCAAGTGGACAGAGTGGTTTATACATGTCCATTGGTTTTCCAAAAAAAAAAAGAAAAGAATTCGTTTTTGAAAATTTTTAAACAAGGAATGCATCACACTGCAGGTGTGTGTGGTAGGCTCGTTCCCTCCCCCACCTGTCTCCCCACAGCCAGTTTTTTAATGGACTAAAAGCGAACCAAATAACCACATACTTTTTTCTGTATAGTATGAAAATGTGAACACATTTTAAGGAAAAAGAAAAACAAAACTAAACCAAAAAAAAACGAAAAAACACACAAACAAGAAATACCAACAACAAAAACTTTGACCTGTTCAAAGCGAATACAAGCCTGCCACCTGGAGGAAGGATTCGTTCTTTCAGGTTCTAAGTGCTGATTCACTATGAAACCTATTAACCAAAGTCATTGCCAATGCGATCGTCAGTCTGCTCTTCTCTGCGTGTCAAGTTGTGTTACAAAGTTTTACGTTTGTACTTCCTGGAAACCTGGGAAGCTGATTTCTCCCATCTCTCCCATCTGTTGTCACCTATGGAGTGGGTGCCATTGTTGAAGCCATTCTGTGAGGCTCACTATTTGCTTTTACTTTGTCTGGACAGGGTTCTTTTTTCTTTTCTTTTCTTTTCTTTTTTGTTGCTGTTGTTGGGAGAGGGTGGCATCCTGGATTGTGTGCCAAAGCATTTGTTGCTTTCTTCTATGACTTGTGGGTCTGAGAAAAGAAAATGGAGCTTGTACTTCTCTTTGTTCCTCCATCTCCCATCTCCCTCATGCGTGGCCTCCAGTCCGCTGGAAGGCCGCAGGGTGGGGACAGTGTCTCTTCCACTCAGATCCTAGTGACATGCAGGCGAGACTCCGGAATGACTAGGGCTTTGCTCGATGAGCTGTCAACAATGGCATAAGCTGTCACTGTGCTCACTGTCCACACCAGAGCTTGGGCTTTTCTCAGTCTGTCGGCCACGTACATGGAGAGCTGATCAAAACTAATTTTGTAATATAAGCAAACATAAGCTGCACATTTGGTTCAATACTTACGTCTGTGTTCTGCTTCTGTGCAAAGCAATTTCTCTCAGAAGTCTGATAGCCAAAGAAATGTCTCAAGATTTCAGTCAACATACACACGTAGCATGCACACACCCACATGAACACACACACAAAGGAAACAGGCCAAAAAGAAAGATAGAGTGACTGGATCTTTAAAGGCCATCACGTATCCTGTAAATCCCACCTTTTCTGCTACTTCTTTCATTCCAGTAGCAATGGCAGACTTTTCTCGGGGGGCGGGGGGAGTGGTCAGTTATTCTTGGAATATATAAATGGAGCAGAAAGTTGGCAGACAAACTTAAACCATTGGAATTGGGATCTGGGTTCTTGAGGGGAAAAGAAGTTTTAACAATGAAGTGCCTCCTCTCAAAGGAAAAATACAGAGTGGCTTATCGGCCACATCAGAATAGCCTTCACTATTAAAACTTAGGGATTATTTCATTTTTCAAAATAAGTTACTCAAAAGATCTGTGGGCCAAAATAACCTAACAAGCCAGAAGGAAAAGCAAGATGGGAGGATGGCTGTGCACGTGAGCACTTGAAGCCTGTGGTTGGTATTCTCTACAGGTACAGGCAACAGGTGTTGCGTTAAAGGAGCAGGGAAAAGGAAACCATCAATACGCCTGCTGTTAAAATGTAAATATTCCTGAATAATTCATTAATAAGCATGCCCATGCACTCTCGACAAGTAAATTGTAAAAGGAAAAAGAGAAAGCCCACCTCAAGCTGCCCAACTGATGAGAAATGCCATGTTCCCTCCCTGATGAGGGTTTGCGTCTCTTCTGGTCGCCCCTTTGCTGGTTGGGTAAATGCAATGGTTTCATTGTCCCCCTTCCCCCGGATGATTCATGCAGCAATCGGGACATCGCCAGCAAGGAAACTTTAAAAGGCCTGGAGGTGGAAGCGGTCACTTGCAAAGGTGTTTCCATTTTGCCAGTCTGATACTAATTGGACCACAGCTGATCAATCTTCAATGGTAATCACATCATGGTACCCGTTTCGCCACCTCCAAAACTGTACAAATACCAACAACCCAGAAATCCAAAAGTATATGGATTAAACAGATTATGTATTCTCCAAGACCTGCTCCAAGAAAAGCTCCCGAAGAAAACTTAACAAGATAACATAACATATGATGAATGCTCAATGTTTAAACACGTGCTAGCAGCAGTGACATAAGGCCTGCTCAGTTTCAAGATCTATAATTGGGAGGGTACAACGAGGACAGTGAAGATATAAAATAAAAGTAGTCTTCCAGAATGGAATATAAAAGAAATATATTTATCCCACAGTCGTAAACCCATTCATTTTTTTATAGTTTTATAATTTTGTATTGTTTTATAAATTATTTATAAGGTGTTGTAATGCTTCTTATATTGATTTTTTACAGATAAATTTTTTGCTACAAGGCATAAAAAGGTGCCTGAACAGATTCTTAAGAATATCAATTATATTGTGTATACAAGTCTTCTGAACCACACCTATTGCTTAATTTTATTAAGACATTTCTTATTTTCACTTGTAAACAACTTCATAGGCCAATAGCATTTAAGTGTTTTATATGTTTTCATGAACTGAAGGTAAAGGTTGCCACTAACAAAAAATAAAAGCCACTTTGGGCATATGTGATTGTATTTCACGCTTCAATATTTTTCTTACATATTTTTAAATTATTGTCATCTTCATTTTCTTTATTGTTTGATGAAAAAGAGGAACAACTGGTGTTATATTTTACACTTGTTTTGTGGGAGTTTTTTTCAACCAGAAAACATTTTGAACAGTTGAGAGTTTTAATTGCATTGTAAGGTTTTGGTTTCACGATTGTAATCACATAAATACACATTCAAGTGTGTGTGTGCGCGCACACACACAAACACACACACACCAAAAGAGAAAACAAAAAGGCAAAAGGAGCTAGGAAAAAACAAACAAACAAACAAGTAGAGGCGTATCAAAGAACTCAAGCTATAACCAAAAAGAAATTGCGAAATGCCTTTGCTCATCTTCTCTATGCTGGACCAAAGCTCAATATTTGTAGGTATATGCACATTGTATAGATATGGCTAAATGTTGCTGACAATCTCGCAATACTAAACTGTTCCTATTTTAAGAAAAGAAAAAAAAAGTACAAACTGTTCATCAATGTTTTACCTCAGCACTCTACTTGTACCAGTTAATGACCAACCTTAAACAAATGGAGAAAAGGAAATTGATTTTCATTTAAATGTTTGACTGTAAAATCTGTTTGGATAACATTTTGTAATGAGCTTTTTTGTCATGTGATTTGTTTGTCTTCAACTTGAAGGTACGTGAGGCACATTTGCTTAATTGTTGTTAAGAGAGTGATTTTTTTTTGTCCTGCGTGCTATGATCTAGACTGGTCACCAGGGTCCCTGACGAGGCACCACAAAGGAGCCGCCTCCCCTGCCTGGAGCAGGCAGAGGCTGGAGGACAGGAAAACAGACTGGGTTGTTTTGAAAAATCATCATGATGAGAAGTTGACATGATGGACTTGTGACCAAGAAGCCAAACTGGATATTTAAAAGCTCCTTATTTGCTCTAACATTGAAACCAAAGCTGATTTATCTGCACAGGTTGCTTAACGTTAAAAAAAAACTGACAAAACTGTACTTAATCTAGAGCAATATCTGTATGGTCAGTAAAGCTGCACTTTGTGTATTTCTTAACAGCTTCAGATCTGTCACTTTTAATTTGTACCATAAAAAATAAAGAATTGTTTGACATGAGCTTCTAGACTAGCTGTGTCTTAAACTCATATAGGTCATTTTCATTGTAGGTATGTCAATAAGAATATGTTACAACCCCAGATGTTAAGGAAAGGAAGGGGTTAATGTGATTATTTTAAACGAAATACTATATGAATTAGGACTGACTCCTTTGGTGGCAAGTAACAGAAACCCAACACAAACTTTGTTACACAAACAGAAACTAGGTTGTTTGACTTGACTGGGGAGTCTGATTGTGGACCACATGACCCGCTGGATACAGTGGTTCCAAAGACGCCATCAGCCTGTCCTGCTTGGCTTCTTTCTCAAAGACCCCAGACGTTGTCATACATCTGTCTCTAAAGTTTATGTTAGGCTAAGCACTGTGTTGGGGGATGGTCTAATGGAATAGGCCGTTCAGGATCACAGGCCCAGCCCGGTCTGTGGTCTAGGGTAAGGGGCCTCATGATAACAGCCACACTGGACCACAAGGATGAAGGAGGATGTCGCAATGAAAAGTCAGAAGAGTAGGCAGACAAACCCAGAGCCATCGCAGTCGGCTACTAAGACCCAGCTGTGTGCCAGGTGTTGTTGAGAACCCTGCTGTGGGAAAGAGGTTTTGCTACTCTTGGCATTGCCTGTCATCACATATTCTGGGAAATTTAGAATTTAAAATATGTTTAATGTGAATGGGAGGGGTGAGTTAATGTTGCTAGATAATTTGTTAATTCAAAAGTAAAATAGGAGCATCTTGCTAAAAATACCAATAAAAAAGTTTTTAATGAGGATCATAATCTTCATACTTTTAGTGAGTTTTAGCAAATATTTCTCATGCTATATAGAGACCCATATATCAACTTCATATTATGATTGATAACAAGTGCTTTGGAGCAAGCAATGAGACCAAAAATCTGAGTGCCCATACATTATAAACGGTCCAGGAAAGTGGCCAGGAAGCTCCCAGGCTGACAGTAAGAGGAGCACAAAGATGCTGATGCTTCTACTTTCATGGGTGAAGAATGCAAAATCAAGTCATTTTCAAGCTTTCTTTCCATCTAAAGTACTCTAAAATTA